AAATTTCAATATTTTTAAAACACATCAATGGGGCATATTAAATCGGAATATGTGGAATTGTTTGGGACTACATTTAAAAAATTTTATAGTTGGCCGATTTAAGCTTAATAGAAACAGATTTTGTTATATAAATAATATTAGAAGCAAAATAATTGAAAATACATTACGCGGTATTACAAATAAAATGCTTGAGAAATATAATCGTGACATAATTTTGAATTTTTCAAATGTATAAAAATATTCTTCATGAATTTAGATAATTGCGGAGCAATGTGGAACAATTCAAAATTGGTCGTATTTTTTATTTCCAATTGATAGAGTATCGCCTGAATTTGGCTCTATCGACTCCGCATATCCGGCAGCTAACAGGACAGATAGTTCGCAGCCGCTTTCCTCGTGGCGTACGCATCATACCCGTTCCCGATTATGGGCATACTACAACAACTAGTCAAACACATGCTGCCATATAGAGTGGATGTGTGTGGGCCTGTTTTAAGGCCCCACTAGTCGAGTGTTTGTTATCTGTCGCTTTTGCTGCTGTTGGCTGCTGCTGTTGTTGCTGCTGCTGTTGTTGTTGGCTGGCAAGGACATGTTTGTAGGCTGCAGACTGTTTGGCTGGCAGCTGCGTGCACGCAAATAGAAAAGATACTCAAGGCACTCATTTGAACGAGACGAGGCACACACACGAAACTGTTACGTGATGAGTGAACGCGTCATGCGGGCCGAGCAGCCACAGCAACCGCAGCGTGCCGCACAGCGTGCTACACAGCAACTGAAAACGGTTGAAAGCATCTAGCAAGCAGTTGGCCATACAACAAAACAGCCATCAGTGGGCGTTTAAGCCAAGTCGCCTGATGGCCGCAACGAGATTTAAATAGAATCAAATTAGTGTGCCATTTGCATTTACTGGCTAGCAGCGCCCCGCTCATTTGGGATTGGGTTGCCAGCACCACTTTTACGGTGTAGGTTGTAGGGTGTAGGTTGTAGGGTTCACTGCCAGTTCAATGTACTACGCACTGTGCACTGTGCTGCATGATGAATTGTTTGCTGTGCAGCTTAAATCGCTTACCGAAAACATAAATCCAAATACATATAGACAACAACGCGGACAAACAAACGGACAGACAGGTGGAGGACGACGGTCGTCGACGTTTCATTTGCCTTTGTCAACGGTTTTTGCCATTTAGTCAGGTGCACAAACACAAACAGCCAGACAAACAGACAGCCACACAGCCAGACGATGGGCCAGGTGAGTTTGAATCTGAGTTACAGACCAAAGCGCCCAGCACGGTGCACGGTGCACGTTGTACGGAGCACCATGTAGCGGCATTGACAGTTTGAGCTTAAAAATCCAATTAGTCTTTGATTTGCATACAAACATTCAAAGCAACAGTAGACAAGGTAGAAAGAGACAGCAGCCAGAGCAAGAGAGAGAGAGAGCGTGAGAGAGATAGAGACAACGATGACAGACAAAGAGACAGACAGAAAGTCGCAGCATTTCTTGCTAAATATTTTAAGACCTACATTCGGATTTGGATTCGGATTCGGCCAGGTTACAAAACAACTAAAGCTGGCGATGGCAAACAGGAGCAGGAGGTACGTGCGGCATCTTCAGCCCGCACCACAATAGACAATTGGATTTTTGCGGTTTCTAATCCAATTTATTTCGTCTTAAATACGAAAACCTGCTCGCCTGCTCGCTCGCTCGCTCGCTTGGCGTCCTTTGGCTCTGTTCATTGTTGTTGTTTTTGTTGACTGTATGCTACAAAGTATCCTGTTTTCGGGTGCGGTTCAATGTAATTTAATGGCTGGCAATGGTCAGGCCACACACACACACTCGAACATATATAAGCATTATACATTTACAGTAAGTCGCAAAGTTAAGCTCTCAAACACACACACACACGCACGCATACGCACCCACACATAGAGGCTGAATCACCTGCTCACTCAAATCGTCGACGACAGCTCTCAGCAAACTAATTTAAATATTTCAGCAATTAAAGAGTCCAGGCAATTAAAATAAACCAAACACCCAAAGCGCCACCGCAACTCAAACTATAAACACAACAAAAGGGAAGGGGAAATGGATTTTGTGGTAAGACCCTCAAGAAGTCGAAGTCCAGCTACCCTATCAACCAAAACAAGGCTATCGAATTGCAAAGAAGTAAGCATATGTGCTTAATTGCGTGATAAATCTTTAGATAATAAATACTATATTTTGTGCACTTAAATACATCGATTAATAAAATTCTTTTGTTGTTAAACAAAATAGATATTCGGAGTTTTTCTAGACTAAATTGTATATACGTAAATAGAACTTGTATACATATAAATTGTATTGCATAAATATTAAATCACGTAATATATATTATAAATAAAAGACTAAACTTATAACATCGATAGGAGAGAAGAGATAGGAGAGAAAAGTTTGTTTTTAATATCATATTATACAACAGTACATAAATATAATATATGCTCTCAGTATTTTATGTTAAATATCCAAGAGTTTTAAAAACTTTTAATGGAATATGCATATTTAAAAAAATATACACAAATTTATTGGAAAATATATAATAAGTTATATATATATGACCAGAAAAAGCAATTTATAAATTTTGTATTATGCATAAAAAAAGAAAATGTCTAACCAAGAGGCGTGTCCGCCCAATAGGAAGTTCTAATGGGAGAGTTGTCACTGTAATACTACACAAAGCATGGACTATATAGTGGATTATATGGTATACGGAATGTTTAATACTTGTCGGCATATTTGGAGTATATATAGATGATACGCGCAAATACAAGTTAAACATATTGCCATATTATTTAATATCAGCTGGTAAATCACATGCACAGAAGGTAGTTAAGCTAACTAGCTCTGCATTTTCTTCCCAGTTCTCAGAACGAATATGAAGAAAGAACTTTTAATCTTAGGTGTCATACAATATTATATTAAACTCAAAAAGTCGACAAGAACATAACAAAGGAGAAAACATAATAAGCATAAAACATAGATTGAGAGCGCAGAGGCAAAGTTTTGCATATCGATAGCCATAATAATCGATAACATGATGTGCATAATCAAACAAACACCGGACAGCTTCTTGTTAAGCTAATTAATGTAGGCATTATCGATATTGTCAAGCATTCGTTATACCCCTTTATCGCCAGGGTATAACAATCAACACCGTGTGACTAACAACCTGTATGCCATTTCCCTTATGCCACACACACACAGTCGCACACACTCTCGCACACACACACACACACACACACACACACACACACACACAAGCTGTTCTCGCCATTGGCCATCGCTCATTGAGTGTCCTGTGTGTGCTGTTTGTTGTGGACAACGTTCAATCAATGTCAACGTCGTTGTCATCCTGCCGCCTGATCCTGTTGCTGGCTGCTCGCTGTTGTTGTTTTTGCCATTGCTTTGATGGTGAACGCTGGCCAACCGTCTTCGCATTTGCCTACCATAATTTTGATTCCAGCTAGGTGGCAGTTATTCCATCAGCGGCTGTGCCTCGGATGCGGCTCTAGCTGGGCTTAGTTCCTCTCTCCTTTATGTACCCGCTCGCCACCCGGCTGCAAAAATTTGGCACAATGCTGAGCAATTGGCGTTCACTCAGCGATTACAGCTACATTGGAGGCTAGCTCTGGCTTCGATTGTGGCGGGAGCCTCGTGCCTCCGCAACTGTCAATATCACACGCAGCGCTGGACACATGACAGACACATTGACACATGGCGTACAAAGGCAAAGACACACACACACACGCACACACACACAGACAGACTGAGAGACAGAGACACAAAGCAACATATTCTCTTTCTGTCTAATGCCGTCTGCCTGTCTCTTTCCAGCCATGTGTGTGTGTGTGTGTGTGTATGTGTGCGTCTCCGTCGATGTATTAAGTGGAAACACCTTGTAAAATGGCTGACAGGTGTTAGAAGACTTTGCAAGATTTATGCGCTGACATTAACATGAATATGTATTAGTGTGACAGCACTGCAGCTATCCAAGTGTGTGTATGTGTACGTATGCTGGTCGCCCAGGCAGTTAAAGGATAACAGCGCATTAAGTTAAGCATTACAACAACGGCAACAATTCACAGAGTCTCACACGGAGACATGAACACGTGTGCTAGCACACGCTGTGGTTGCAACAATTAAAGTTTATTTGCTGCGCCCACACACACATACACACACACGCACACACACTCTAGCATAGGGACACACGCACTTATTCAGACAGACAGGACGACGTAAACATGGCATTTGTGTATTTATAGTCGGTCCGCCTTGCCACAAAATTAAATAAAAGCAAAAGTCAACAAGGAACATAGATTTGCTTGCCTGCCTGCGCTTTCCGGCAAGGTAAACAACAATACAACAGCAGCAACAATTACAACAACGACAGCAACACTATGAAACAACATGTAAGCCATCATCGTTATAATGGACAACAGACCTAAAGAGACACCCGGCGGCCTCAACTGGACCTCGACTGACGACCTCTTTAGCTGCTCGCGATGGACGCGTGAGTTCCTATCTAATCGTACAGCAGGAATAGCAGCAGGTGTGATATATATACAAATAATAAACTATGCATAAAAATATATCATATATGATGCCAAATAGTGTTTGTAATATACAACTCTCTAAGAGCAGAAGTTCGTGGCAGTTATATTATCTATATATTATCTAAGCACAGCATAAATTGTGAACATTTTTGGATTGGAGACAGAGAGAGAGAGGTGGAAATATGGAAAAAGATATATACATATATAAATATAAAAGAGATAGAAAGAGAGAGAAGGACACAGAAATAAGGAGAGAGGAAGAGTTTGTTCAACTAACCATATAAAAGTTAAGGCATCAATATTTTTAAAACATGAAACATGAAAATTATGAACATGGTTAAGTTATCATAATCAAATAAAATTACTTACTTGAATTTGCTGTAAGATATGCAAATATATAATTTTGATCCTTGTTCCATACTATTTAAAATTTGATTTCTTCGATTTTTTGGCTATCGTTTGTTGCTGGCAGTGTCTAAAATAAAATAAACAAACAGGAAAATTATTAATTTGTTCAAATTAAAGACTTAAAGTTAAAGCTAGAGAATTAAAGCAGATCTTTATATCCAATAGCAGGAACTCGAAACGAACCTTAAAGCAAGGCATTTGTTTATATTGAACTTTTGCTTTTTTACGGAAAATAATAATTTAAAATGCATCCTAATTTTTTACATTTTAGCGATATCGTTTAAATAATGGTTCGTTTTAGAGTAATAATAAGGTAAGGTGTTTATAGTTCATATAATCCAGTTCGGTTTGATTCATTCATGTTAAATACAAAAGAAGAGTTTCTGGCTCAAACTAATCTCTTATATAATAGGGTTTGTATTAAAATAATAGCTTTACTACTCATTCAATTTTCGATTTCTGGTTAGAATTTGTTTCAAAAGTTACCTAACGATATATTAAGATATATATTTTGTTTTCAAAATGTTTAATTAATATTATTATTTATTATGCAATCATATTATTTCAAAATATATGAGCTCAAATGTCTTTAATTTGGTTGTTGCAGCTATAAAATGCTTCCATCTCTAGCTCGTGTGATTGTTGTGGCATTCTGCAGTCAGGTTTGCTGCTGTCAGCCATTTTGGTGGTGTGTGTCGAGATGTTGCTGTTGTTGCTATTGTTGTTGTTACTGTTGCTGCTGGTACCTGCTGCTTGCCTCATTATGATTGTCAAAGTGACGGACTGGTCATGCAAAGGTAAACACAAAATGTGTAAATACAAAGGCATATATCAAGGATATATATGTGTGTGATATGGTGTCACCAGTTCCACACTCCCCCTCCCTCCTCGTTCTAACAATCGCCCGCTCATGCTGGCCAGTCTTCAGTGTTGGCATTGTAATTATCATTGCGACACTAAATATTTGTTGTTTGCTTAAGTGCTTTGTATGCCAGGCCCGGGCAGGCCAGGTAGCCAGCTGGGCAAGCAAATCAATAGGCTGGCTTTGGTTACCTTTGCATTTGGCAATATCAAGGCATACTTTACGGCTTTAAAGACGGAAATTGCTTTTTATGCGCCTTTAAGTAGGCAAAACGATTCATTTTTATGTCATTCTGCTGTCGTCGCCTTCGTCTTCGCCGTCGCCGTCGCCCGCCCCTCTTCTTCGCTCGACAACCGATTGTCATTCATTATTTGCACTTTTTTGTTTCAGCTTCTTCTTGCCCGTTCGCGATTCTCGTAAAACTCATGAATTTTTTATTATGTTTTTCCGGCTTTACACAGCCCTCTTCCTCTTACACTCCATTGTGTTGTTGTAGATGTTGTTGTTTCATTTTTAAATTATTAAATTTTATTGGCGTATCATTTTTTATGTGCGACCGCTGCTGAAACATTATATTTCGATTAGCACCTGTTTGTTTTTTGTGCCTCGTCGCCCATTTCCCATTTCCCATTTCACTTTTCACGGTCGCCATCCAAACTCCTCGCCCCTTTTTGGGGGCAGGGGTGTGTCGGCTGGTGTTTACGTCTTGTTCTGGCATTGTTTGCGGCTTTTTAGCCAAGTCCTTTGGCTGTCGATCACAGCTGACGATGCCACCTGCTAGACAACAGGTGCGATTCCTGCCCCTTGGCTGCCAGCGTTCTGATTGTCGTTACTTTTTATTGCACTGCGCTTGAGTTGAAATTTCATCGGCACATAAACAAAAGACACGTTTTGATTTACACTAAATTAAATGCGATGCGTTTTACACACGGCCAAGTTCAGCCGAGCAGAGAAACAGGCACAACCAGCTTGGAGTTCAAGCGGCAAGCAATCAAGTTATGTTGGATATTAATTTAAATAGAGTGCTTAAATTATGAAAGTATAACCCAACCACAGCAACTCCCAAGAGGCCAAAAGGCGCTTTGGTTAATCCCATTCCACTTACCTAAATAGACGTAAAAAAGGGCATTTAAATTATGCAGATCTTGATTTATAAAGAGTTTTAAGTCTTGCATTTGTTTATTTATTTATATTTAATTTTAGTTATGTAACTTTTTATGTTTAATAATTAATAGCTTTTAATAGAGCTGTGTGCTGTGAACTCAGATAATAAATCAGGCTGCTATCAAGCTTTATTAAACACATTTACATACGATTTCAGGCAGCACCTACGCTTTATTAGTCGATTTAGATTATCGCAATAATTCAATTACTTCGATAAATCATTTCGATTTGTACACAAAAACTCATAATAATGAATCAGCTAATAAATTTTGTTCATTGTTAAAAAAGCTATTCGAAATGGTTCCTTAAAAACTTAATCTAGAAAAATCTAGTGTTGCATAACGTTAATTTTAAGACTAAAGCATCTCTAGTTACCAGTGTTAACAATATTTAAGAGACTTTTTCAGATTAACTTTTGCTGCTGAGCTGTAAGATACAGCTCCCAGCTATATTGTTTAGTGTTTAAATGAAATATCATAATTTAGAATAAGTTCGTAAAGTTTCATAAAGTATAAAGTAATTAAGTATAATTTATTCTATATACTATAGTTTAAATACCGCAAATGTTTTATATAATATAGATAGCATTATTATTTGTATTTCAAAAACTCGCATATCTCTAATATGCAACCCGTCAGCTAAGAAAGCCTCTGCCTGCCTGTCTGGAGTATATATTTATATATAGCTATAACCCATATACCTATATAGTTGCCAGCAAGACTATACAACTATAACGGTTCCCTCTTCTTTTGATATGTTTATCTGCTTTGATTCAAATTGAATAATTGATTTCATAAAAAACAAGCAGAATGTCGACGACAGATCATTATGTTTGATTTGTATTTACGTTAATTAACTTGATTATCATAAATTGGGATGTGATGCCAAGAAAAAACAAGTGCATTAAAATGACTTGCTTCTTAGGAGCGGGGCTGCAGCTGAGCAAGATGTTGCTCCTTGTTATTGCATGGATTGGACTGTGTGGTCCTTTAGTTTGAATTGCAGTTGTCGTCGGCTGCCCGTGGCACGGCCCCTTGGGGAATAATGGAATATATTCTGTTGTCGTTGATAGGGCGCCTTCGACAACTGCAACTCAATGCCAACTAATTAATGTGCCGATGTAATGGGCGATACTCAGGCATTAAACGTGGGTGGGCTGTCACGAATAATTCCTGCTCGGTCGGTCAGTTAATAAACTGTCAATGTGTTCGTGTCCCTGTCGGTCCATGTGTGTCCGTGCGAGTGTGCGTGTGCGTGTGGGTGTGTGGGCGAGCTTGTGGTTGAAGTCGTTGAATGATGCCATTTAAATTGATTTCAGAGAATCATTCAATGGCCACGATGACAGTTCGGGATGTATTTCTTTCTATGGCAACTGCAACTGGAGCCACTGTCAATTGTCCATTTTTCTCCCAACTTTCCATCTGACCAACTGTCCTGTCAGCTAGCCATTGCCTCATGCGTATTTTTATTGAATAAACATTCATCGAAAGCTTCACGTAAAAATTAAAAACCAAAAAAACAATTACAATTAAGAATGCTTCGTTACGAAATGACCGACTAAAAGATACCCAGCAGAAATTGGCGAGCTGCTATCACAAATATTCTTACTTCTTTGTAGGTTTAGATCTGTGCTCCTGTGAGAAAAATTGCTGGATGTATCCTAAGATTGAAACTCTTTGCTAGACTGTCTTTCACTTCTATGAGTTTCGACATATTCTCGGAGCACCTTATATGAACTTGATTGTTATGGTTATCGTGAAAAAATAGAGTTAGTTATAGACAAATTTACATTTAGCTGATCTAAAAGACCTACATTGTAAATTTCAAGTAGTTTTTAGTTCTTATAGTCAACAGACAAACATGACTAGCTCGCCTGCTTTTTTCATCCTGGCCAGGAATATTTTATTACTACATCTGCATACAGCCATAATAGCCGATTTTGGGCCTACGGGTACAGGGTATAAAAAATGTAAACGGCTGACATTGCAATCGAACCGAAGACAAACAACAGTCAATGCCAATTAAATGGGAATTTTAATTAGCGTAAGTTGCGCTGCATGACGTCACAGCAATCGGTAAATGTCGACGTCATCAATGGAACTGTCCCCAACCAATATAATGACGGTGCAGGCATAACTGAAAGGCTTCCGTTTGATTTTCGTGGGCAGGGGCAACGTTTGAGGCACCTTCAAGTTAAGTTTCCTTTCGAGTTATTCGAGCGTGCAATGTAATCAGAACAATAATGGGTAATAATACCCTCCCTTTATTCATTTGGAATGGCTAAAAAGAAAGGGTAACTCTTTTACAAAATCGATTTTAATCGGAGATAATAAAAGCTAGAAATGCGAAATTTGGTATACACAGTTCCACATTTCAATCTTTCGAATATCTCCCATATCGCCCACATTTTACTGAAAATTAAAAAATTACTTCGAAATAAATAGATTATTTAGGTGACATTTTTGGAAACCGAAAATTTAAATTCAAATTTGATTTTTTATCAGAAACACATTATGAAAATTGGCAAAGGATCCTGGATCGAAATTCGTTATGAAATTTATCTGTTATGCTTTAAGTGATAACTTTTCCTTTTGCTTTCCATTTTCTTTGCAATTTCCGTTTTGTGCATATGAAAACAGAATTGAATTTTAATTCTTGGGCACATAAGCAACATTGCAATTGACAGATGACAAGGCAGCCAACACACATGACGAGCCTTCAAGGGGAGTTGGGGCTGTCGGGGGTTGGGTGTCGAATCCTGACTGCAAATTGAAATGCATGAAAGCAAAATAAACTATGTAACTGAAGAATACAAATTGATCAAATACAAAAACCAGCAACATCATCATAAAACTGAAGGCAAACTGGCAAGGGGAACTGGCGGGCAAAGCCCAAAAGCACTCAACTAACTCAACCAAGTCCCAGGACCTCGACCGGGCTAGACCAGGCGACTGTCAGCCGCGGTGCGGTGCGGGGCTGCCGGCTGCCAGAATCCGAATTGTGAGCTCATCATTGGGAATTCGAATAGAGCCGGGCGAGCA